CACACACACACACACACACACACACACACACACACACACACACACACACACGCACACGCACTGTCGCACTCACACAGTCACACACACACACCACACTTCCATTCTCCCACCCCCATTCCCGGACCTCAAAGGCATTGTCCTGTTTTTCTTTCAAAACCAACACACAGACATTTCTCAGCTCACGCTATCCTGACGCCATCTTTTATCTACTCCCTCGCTGGATTCGCCTCTGTTCTCGTCCTTGGAGCCTTGAGTCGGACAAGCTGCTCAAAATTCCTCCAAAAGGTAACACTAATATAATGGAAAGAGGGCGCACCATTAGTTATGCTGGACTAAAGAACAGATGGCTCCGGTTCGAATTCCCAACGGGCCAATTATATCTGGATCTGGCTTGCTTTAGGGGTGTTTAAGGCTCTCCATCTATTCAGCTCGGTCCTATAGAAGATGAATGTTAAATTTGGAGGTCCTATCTCCTAAATAAATTTATCGCTGAAAGGGATGTTTTACCTTTACAATGCCAAATTGACACCTTAGAAATACAAAGTTTTATCTGACTAGTTTTGCCGTTACTTAGTTTCTAAGACCATGATATCAACAGAAATCAAATGTGCTATCTGCACTATCAAAATCGTAAGAATATTCGAAGTCGTTATAAAGATATTCAAAGAATTGCATTCGAAAGCGCTTGACATGTTGTAAAACTCAAAATGTATTTGTATTTAAAGTCAAATTTAGCAAAACTAGAAACTAATCAGGTAGAACTTTATAATTCCTGGGTAGCGTAATGAAAAAAAAGAAAGTGAAATTTTCCAACGGCGTGATAATGCCCAGAACCTGGGGAAAACGGGAAACTAATAATCATACCGCAAATTTGCCCTTGAATAATCTAAACGAAACTGAGTCCAACCTCAGCATTTCTTATCAAGATAATCTTTTTTTGACCCTCAAGGAAAATTTGGGTGGATGTACCAGAGCATCAACATACATGTACAAAGATTCAACATCAGCACAGAAATGCCCTCATTACATTCATGCTCAAAGATACACAAATAACATGCACAACTGATCCACACATGAGTATGTAAATAGTGTGTCCATGGGCATAATAAACACTATTGCTCTTCCCCAACCCCCACCTTGCCCCCCCCTCTCTCTTTCTCTCTCTCTCTCTCTCTCTCTCTCTCTCTCTCTCTCACACACACACACACACACACACACACACACACACACACAAATACACACACATACACACACGGCGCATAAACATACACTCATAGTCGTCTTCGTCTCTTATATGCACATCAAGCATACACAAAGAGCATAATCATAATACAAAAAGATAATTCCATATCCTATTGCTTGTATATATTTCTCTCCTTAAAGAAGAGGGGACAAAGGAGTTCTTATAAATATCTATGTCTTTGTTTTCTTTAAGCTGGCAGGAGGAATGTATTGATTCTAATGTGCTTTGTAGAGAGGGTGTTCAATATTATAATTTTTAGCAACTGCACCAAAAACTGACACGACTTGAAAATCCAAGACTTTAGCAGTACCAAAAATCTATATCCCCGAATTTGGCGCCTTTTCACTTTTTAACCTATAACAGGTATGTCAAACTCGATCCAGCAGGGGGCCAAACTCAAGTAATACCCAAAGTTGCTGGGTGAACAGAATCAACATTCCCTGGGCAATGGAGAATCAAAACTTTTTCAGACAATAAAATGTGAGGCATCGTGGTAAAATCAGGTTCTCGTCAAAATGATTAAATACCAGAAACAGGCACTTTCCCACTTGTTAGGCATTTTCAAATCGAATTTTTTGGTTTTTCAAAAAAATGCTCAATACTTTTCATGTCCATGAAACAATATTGCTCTGTGGATTTAACTAAAAAAAACCGCTGATTAAAGGTAAAAAATAAACATTTACAGTTTAGAAGTACTCTCAAGCTTTGGAAGTAACCAAGGTTTAACGGTCATTTTCTCGTTTATTTTACCTCTGAAACCAGACTCCCACCTCCTTCAATTGCAATTATAGCAGCTCTTATTAAAGATAAATGAGGTTTTTTTTTCGTAGAAAGAAAGACAAATAAACAAACTTTAAGCTGATCTTAAAGTTTAGATTATGAAACGCATAGAGCTTGCTGTTGAGCGGGGACTTGCGCTATACAAATGCTATCTATTATTATTATACAAATAACTCCTCATGCCGAAAAATTGACGAGCGAATGGTTCCACCGGGACGTGACACAAATGAATTAAAACAGACAAAGGTTACAACGATTACAAATCAAGGCATACCAATGTTCGTCATATATGCATAAGCACATAACCTTCTCTTATTGTATTGTATCTTATGCAACAGGAAACCCCATCTTTTCTCGTCATATCTTATCTTATGATATATGCTCATAATTTCATCTTATCGTATCATATCTTTGACAAATTTTTCTACACTTATTCTCTTCTTACCGTATCGTATCTTATGCTATCTGCACACACTATAGTTTTTTTTATCGTATCGTATCATATTATGCATGTCACCTCGTCTGACGCTGTGGTCACTTGTGCCCCCCCCCCCACCCACTGTCATTCCATACCCAACTCCACCCCCCCCCCGAACCTCACCCCACCAACCCCACAATCCCACCTCCACCTCCAAACCACTCCACAATGATTGTTCAGAGAACCCTGGCATTTGCGTCAGTAGCTTCGTTTCTCCTCGCCGGGGTCACTTTCGCCAACACTGTGGCTTTCGACTACTTGTGGCAGTTGGCGGTTTACACGGGTTGTGCGGGGGTGGTAAACGGTGAGTGACTAAGCTGTCCTGTGTATGTTTGTTTGTTTTTGTAAAGTGTTTTACGGCGCTCGCAACTGCATAAGGTCATATGAGCGCGCGGGACACACCTAATATTTTCAGTTGGTAGGAAATTTTGAATTTTGCCCAGGTGACGGCCGAAGCCTACTCTTATCGATTTTAGACCACCGAGGGATCTTTAACGTGCGCAACTTGCACACGGGCCCTCCGAGATTTTTCGCCCTTGTCCGAGAAGGCTAGGTGTAGATCTTTCCTACCAGAAAATCAGGGGTGTGGCTGAAAGACAGCAGTAAGAAGAAGCGAAGAAGTAGCAGTAGAGAGGCTGCAGAAAGAATCAGGAGCCCAGAGGAAGGGGCAAAGGAGGTGAAGGGGTGGGGGCAGAAAGTGGAGACGAAAGCAGACGACAGAACATTGCTAGAGAGCAGGAACAATGAGGTGAAAGGAGACAAATTTAGAGAAGAAAATTTTCAATCGCTACCCGGATTCGAACCCGGGACCTTTGAATGAGAGGCCAACACCTTTACCTCTAGGCCACGAGAGCCCCCCTGTCCTGTGTACGTCTACGCGTGAGTGTGTGTGTGTGTTTTTTTAAGCTTTTCGTAAGTGTTTTACAGCACTTTCAACACAATAAGGTCATATAGGTGCCAAAGATTCGAGGTGTTACAAGAGAGTAACAAACGCAAATTAGAAGGAGTGGAGATAAGGACGATAGATGTTTGATAGAAAAGAAAGAGCAAACCACACTAGAGCACCCGCCAACTACCCACAGTATGTGAGTGTGAGTGTGAGAGAGAAAGAAAGAGAAAGATTCAGTTGACGGTCTACACTGGTTATGCGGGGGTGATTCACAGTGAATGCGTAGGAGTGTATGAGTTTGTGTGTGTGAGTGTGTGTGTGTGTGTGTGTGTGTGTGTGTGTGTGTGTGTGTGTTTGTGTGTGTTTGTGTTTGTTTGTGTGTGTGTTTGTGTTTGTTTGTGTGTGTGTTTTTGTATATGTGCGTATGTATAAGAGAGAGAGAGAGAGAGAGAGAGAGAGAGAGAGAGAGAGAGAGAGAGAGAGAGAGAGAGAGAGAGAGAGAGAGAGAGAGAGAGAGAGAGAGAGAGAGAGAGTCAACCTCCGAATACAGAGTTCACTTTTAATTTTGGCCCCTTGACCCCTCCCCTCTCGCACCCCCCCCCCCCCCCCACCCCGACCCTTCCCATTTTACAGCCCTCGTGCGTGTGTCTGTCCCACTGTCTATGATCTACTACACGGGCAGAGATAACTACAAGATTGCTCTCCCCTTCCTAGAGGTCGCCGGCGGCTTGGGAGGTCAGGTGGCCTATCTCATTCAAGGTGAGATACACCTACAGACTTTGGGTTTGAGTTTCATTTCTTGTTTATAAATAAATGCATCTGTTTTAACGCCCCTTTGACGTAATCTAGATCATATAGGAGGTGGGCTTCAGATCCTTCCTGTCAGGGTCAAACCTACCTGAGAGGGATCCTACATCCCTGCAGAAAGACCGATGAAATCTCCCCACTCGGGAATCGAAGTCGGGTGTCCTGCATGCGACAGCAAAGAGCCAACTGTTACAACATCACAGAAGAAGCCAAAAAAAACAAAATACCCCCCCCCCCACACACACACACAAACAGAGGGAAAGAAAAGACGCAGGGAATATAGTCGTTGTTTCGGGATGTTTAACACCCAAATCTACACATTGTTGATAATTTACTAGACAAGTGTCTACTGGTTCACACGACAAAAGTTGTTTTATCATTTTTCTTTGTAATTCCAAATGAAACAAATAATGGCTTTGATTCTAGATATTTCACGCCCATATTGACCCGATTAGGTCATTTCGGAGGCAGGGACCTTCTGGAACATACGACTAAAAATGTGTAGTTTTTACTTGAGTGTATGTATGACCTGTTATTAAGCCCATCTTGTGAGTTTAACTGATATGGAGGATGAAGAGCGGATATGTTTACAGGCTCTTTTCTTTATTATTACTAATTTGCTGCTTCTCTACTCTTAGGCATCGATATTAATGCACATTGTTGAAGGTGCCATAAAACCATAACAATTCAAGGATTTCTTACGCTGCTTGTCACTGAGAGATGAAGAGGTGGGGGAGAGGGGGGGGGGGAGGAGGGAGAGATTTCAGCCATTATGGATGTTCTAGAGCGTGTACCTTTTTGTCACTACGTTAACAGTTTTGGTCAGATAAAGTATCGAAATACTAATTAATATGGGTACAAGAAGATGGGGGGGGGGGGAGGGGGGAGGAGAAATGTTGATTAAATTGCAAGACGTAAGCAAAATCAGAATATGAATGGTTGCAATAAACGAGACATTTTTTCTGTCCAGTGTTGCTGTAAAAACGGTCTTTGAGACCATGAAGTGGGCAGGTTTAAGAAAATGAGTGGCGAAATACCATTGCCCGCCAACGTTCGTTACTCTGGTTCGCCCATTTCGTGACGGCACGAAAAAGCCAGTGTCAGGAGCAATGGCGATACGTCTGGAGCCTTGTGTGTGAAACTGGGGCGAAGCAGGGCTATGTGTTTGTACCAACACTTTTCAGCATTAAGTTCTCAGTGATGGTGTATGAAGCATCCCAAAGCTCCTCTGCTGACATTGATATCGGATACAGACTGGAGTGTAAAGTCTTCAACCTTGGTGGGATGCAAGCAACGACAAAAATGGGCATAATACATGTCTAAAATTTGCTATTTGCCAATGATTGTGCATTTTATGTTCATGAAATATCCAGCAAGTAAAACTGTGTTGATCTCTTTTCAAATGCATTTAAGAACTTTGGACTCACAATTAACACAGACGTGCCTAAAGATCCTCTTCCTTCATGGAACTAGTGATACGTAGATCCTCCTTCTTGAAATCAAAACGGAAAAGAAAGCGACACTCTGCTACACTTCTTTTACGGACATTGCATTGGCTTCCTGTTGAGAAAAGAATTGTGTACAAGCTGGCCACACCATGCCACAAATGCTCGAATGATAAAGCGCCATCATATTTATCAAATCTGTTGAGACTGAACATTCCAACTCGCAGTTTAAGGTCACCAGCTTACAAAAAGACATTTCTTTTACCTTCTATGAAACTTAAAACAATTGGTGAAAGGGCATTTGGATATCAAGGCCCTAGATCTGAAATGCTTTGCCAAGAACTTTAAGAGAGATCAAATCTCTTGATCCATTCAAATGTCAGCTGAAGTCATTTCTGTTTTTAAATTAATATTATTATAATGAATATTTGGAGTGACTTTCTTTTGGTCAGAAAACAACGTTTTATGTTACTGTTCTACATTGCGTTGTACTGTAAAGCGCTCAGAGCCTGTGTACTTTAATTGGGGTTGAGGGCTGTATAAATCTCATTTATCATTATATATTTATAAATAAATAAATAAATAAATAAATATATATATATATATATATATATATATATATATATATATATATATATATATATATACACTCATACTCTCTCTCTCTCTCTCTCTCTCTCTCTCTCTCTCTCTCTCTCTCTCTTTCTCTCTCTCTTTCTCTCTCTCGCTACCGGAATCGTAATCGTGAGATTGCGGGTTCGGGGGTTCGAGCCTCAGCTCGGTCCGACGCTGTGTCCTTGGAAAGGGCACATTACTGGAATTTCCCACTTGGCTCGGTCTTTTCGGAGATGGACGTTAAACTCGGAGGTCCCGCCTCTTAAATAACTTTATCGTAACTTGATAGGGGCATTAAACCTATACCATGCCACCATTTCACCATTTCTCTCTCTCTCTCTCTTATCTATGTTTCCGCTCCTCTGCTACGCGATTTCAAAAGCGTTTGAGCAGGCATAATGATTCATTTCTCTCTTTTTTTTAGGGGGGGGGGTGGGTGTAAATTATGTTAATGGGGATGAGAAATATTTACAATTACATGTACGAGTAAGTGAGGACCCTATAAGCCTCTATCTAATCGTGAACTACTTTCTGGTGTTCGGCAAGGAGTAACAGCGGCTAATACATAATAGAATTATAATCTATTACTTGTATCTTTTAAATGCGTAGATAAATGTTTTAACGCCCTGATCGACATAACTGAGACAATTTAGAAGATATTATAAGTAGAAAAGAGTCAGGATAAAACAGTATTCTTAAAAAACGTAAGAAATTCATATGACTATACATTTTGCTGCAAATTTCGTGGACAAAGTAGTACGGTAGCAAAGTGCAAAAACAGAATTTTGCCTTAGCGGATTGCCAAAAGACAAATCTGAATTCTGGATTTTTTATATATTTGTTGTTGTTGTTTAAAAAAAAATTGATGTAACAATTCCCTTGGCTCTTCTCCTGCCCACAGCCAACCCGCCTGGAGACACCGGCTTTGATGAGTCCTGGTACGTCTGTGCAGTGACATTGGTGTTTTTTGGTGTGGGTGGTCTACTGCTGCTGCATTTTTTCCCCGACGATTGGGCGCACATCCACGCACAGGGTGACGAGGATGTCGAGGAAGAAATTGAAGCCATAGAGAATGAAGCTTTTGAGCCGGATTTCGAGTGAAGGGGAGTGTGGAAGCAAAAGCCTACGATGTCTTAATGCTTGTACTTTCACGAACAAATTGGTTAAGGGTTGTTAGCACTCCTGCAAATATTTTGTCCTGCTCAGTTGTACCAAAGACAGCATCTGTGGCTGTACGAAGTCCAAGAATTCATTTTTAGAGCAGCTTAGTACAAACGAGGACATACTGTTAACCTGAGGCACCTCTTGTATGTGTTCCAAGAATGTTTTGTCAAAATGCAAGTTATGCCTGCTGTAAGAAAAAGAAAAAGAAAAGCTTGGTCGCAATTTTTAAACGAATGAAGCATTTTTATCGCTTTAAAATGCTTTTTTTGTCTGAAAGAAGTTGAATAGCTTGCCAACGAGTTAGATTTGAAACCTAAGAAATTCATATTTTACACACAGGAGAAAATAGTACACTTCTGATAAGGGGGTGGTGCATATCTAATGTGTAACAGCCTACTCGCAAGTCTTCGGCTAATCTGTGATAATGAGAAACCCTGATACTAATTTAGAAAGGTTTTCAAATGTTAATGTTGATCATATCTTTCTGTTAAATTGATTATTGTTCGTACTGTGTTGTGTTTAATAACAGCCTTCAGATTCGTGTGCACTGTTTCTTGAATCTATTCGTCGTTTTTAATGGATTATTTACACGATTTATGACATAGAGAACGTGTGCATTGTTCTGTGGATGATTTCTTTTTTGGACTCTGTATCTGGACTATTGATTGGATTGTTGGATTGTTGGATTGAGCAGTTGCTGGTATAATCACCGAATACTTCTTGTGTTCTTGTAAATGTTGAGGAGCTAGACTAACTTCAGATACAGATCTTGATTATACCTACACGCACTCGGGATAAGCGGTCGCCTCCCTGTCTTCATTGGCAACTTCCTGAAGAACCGTTCCTTCCAGGTTCGTGTCGGATCCTTCCTTTCAGACCCCCACCTACAGGAAGAAGGAGTCCCCCTTTTTCCTCTTCTATTTGAAATTAAAAAAAGATTCCATCGTAAAAAACCCCCAAAACAGCTCGTTATACGTTGGCGACGTTTTGGTATGCTACCGTTCGAAAAATCCTCATCTGATATCTATGGAAAGGCAGCTGCACAAACTCGAAAAGTAGGCAAACAATAACGGTTTCAAGTTCTCCCTGTCAAAGACGGTTGCAGTACACTTCTGCCGAACAGACAGGCGTGTGCTGCAACCGGATTTGACACTATACGGGGAAAGGATTCCCGTCCAGGACCTAGCTCGTTTTCTCGGCGTTATATTGGACAAAAAACTCACATTCATACCACACATCAAAGACCTTCGTGTCAGGTGCCAGAAAGCGCTAAACGCTTTGAAAATTATATCGCATCCGGAGTGGGGCGGGGACTCAAAACACCTTCTCCACTTGTACATCTCCCTTGTCTGGTCCAGGCTTGACTACGGCTGTCAAGTCTAAGGATCGGCAAAACCACACATCCTGAAAATGCTAGACCCAGTACAAAAACAAGGACTCCGCTTCGCTCTGGGGGCTTTCCGCACTTCCCAGGTGGAGAGCCTCCAGGCCGAGGAAAACATACCATCACTCTCACTCAGACGCTCTCAACTCTCACTACAATACGCAATTAAACAGAGCTCAACACCAGAGAATCCAGCGCACAACTGCATTTTTAAAACAAAACCAGAAACCGTAAACAAATTCCAAAACAACGAAAAACTCATCAAACCCTTCGGCCTCAGAATTCCAGAGGACTTAAAAAACTTACACTTTTCCAAACAAGACATCCAACAATTTCAATTTTCCCCGACCTCCCTCCGTGGCACCTCACCAAGGCAAAAGTAGACTTACAGCTGACCATACACAACAAAGAAAGCACAAACACAAAAACTTTTCAAGCAGAATACAAAAAACTAATAGAAAAATACCCCGGTGCGGAGCTTATCTTCACGGATGGCTCCAAAAAAGACAATGATGTGGGCGCCGCAGCCCTATCCTCAAACAATACACACCAGAGGAGACTCCATCCTGAAGCCTCCATTTTCTCTGCAGAGGCCACTGCCATTGACATGGCACTGGACTCCGTAGAAAATTCTTCTAACAAATCTTTCCTTATCCTTTCTGACTCCCTGTCTTGAATCACCTCATTCACAAACTACACACTCCTACACCCCAAAATAGTTAGGCTACAACAGAATATTCACACCCTATCTGAAACAGGGAAAAATATCATATTCGCATGGATACCTAGCCATGTGGGCATCCGAGGAAACGAGCAGGCAGATGACCTGGCGAAGAAATCCTCATCCCTTCTGTTGGGATCAACGACAAACACTCTCCCACAGACTGACTTTAAAAATAAAGTAAAAAAGTACACCTCCAGTCTGTGGGACAGCCACTGGAAAAAACAGACGAGTAAAAAACTCTATAATATTAAACCCAAACTGGGACCACGAAATCCTTCGGGCCTCTCCAGAAAAGACGAAGTTATTTTTACTCGATTGCGCATCGGACACACGGCCCTGAAACACAAATACCACCTTCGGGGAGATGAGAAGCCGGATCTGACACAGATTTTAACATTAGACACATTTTAACCGAATGTCTAAACTTTGGAGAGATCCGAAGGAAATACTTTATATATGCAAAAAATTGCAAGACTTTTTTTTCTGTCGTTGGTCTCAACAGAATTTGGGATTTTATGAAGGCCATTGGCCTTTATGGAAAATTGTAGTGTAGAACAAAATTGAATTATTTTTAATTTTCATGAAAGTTGTTTTAGACTAAAAATATATATCTACACCAAATTTTAAATATTTTAAGATCAAATGACCCGTACCCAGACGTGTAGTGAACTGCGATTAAAAGACTAACTTGTGTTTCTCGCGCTCATATGACCTTATGCAGTTGCGAGCGCCGTAAAACCCCATACGAAACTAAAACTGACTAAAACAGATCTTGATTGAAATGCGGGGACAAAAGACTAGATAATTTTGCATCAGCTGAGAGAAGTTTGACGTACCTATTTTATCCTGATCTCTTATACAGCGTTGCAGTGTATTTACCAGGACCTATATTATTATGTTTGAAAATTAGGTGCTCCTTAAAATAATGAAATCGAAGAAACAGACATTTTTCTGTCAGTTTGGTAATAGTTATCGAAATCTTATTTTTAGGATCAATACGTTTTAAGCCCATTTAAAAACACGTTTCTTGGTGTATTTTGCTGAAAAATGTTTAAGCACAAAAAAAATGTAAATTTTTCAGTTTCCAAGGACTCTCAAACTCTCGAAGTCACCAAACTTTGAAGGCATACTTTCTATTAAAATTCTATTGTACTATAGGCCAAACTCTTTTGTGAAGATGGGAGGATTAGGAAGAACATAAGTACTTTAAAAAATTCCAGCACATGGAATTAAAGTTGAACTAGATTTTACCTATAAAAGTGTCCCCATCCCTTCTTTCTTTCGGTTTCTTCTCTCGGTCTCTCCTCCCTGTCTCTCCTCTCTGTATTTTCTTTCTCTCCGATTCTTCTCTCTTCTTTTTCTTTCTCTCGTTCTCTTCTCTTTTTCGCTACTTTCGGTCTCATCTCTCTGTCTCTTCTCTCAGCTTTTCCTTTCTCTCTGTCTCTTTTCACTGTCTCTTTTATCGGATTCTTTCTTTCTCTCTCTCTCTCCGTTATCTCTCTATCTCTTCTCTCTGCGTTTGCTTTCTCACTCCATTTTACTTTCCCTATGTCTCTTCTCTCTGTCTTTTCTCTATGTCTCTTTTCTCTGTCTGTCTGTCTGTCTGTCTGTCTGTCTGTCTGTCTGTCTGTCTGTCTGTCTCTCTCTCTCTCTCTCTCTCTCTCTCTCTCTCTCATGTTTGGTTTAAACAATGTTATATTTGCAGTGTAATATTTGTCGTTTAATAATAGCCCACTATTACTAATATTTTATAACTATAGTATTCATAGTTCCTTGGAATGTGCATGTAAATGTCGCAAAGCTTTGCCTATTCAACATAATATATTATGGTGTTCTTTATTCTTACGCATGACAGATCTTCGAGACATCGGCAATCAATGTTCTCCATTCATTCCTTTCCTCGGATCCTCTTTAAAAAAGCCATCTTTCCCTGATCTTTCCCCTTTACCCATTTGTTTAGATTCCCTAAGTAGGTTGCTCTGGGTCTACCCCTGCCTCGTTTGCCATCAGTTTTGCCAGTGAGAGCGAGATGTTCAAGACCTTTATGTCTATTCAGGAATCCCCAAAACTGCATTTGTCGTTTCTTAATTGTTTTTAACAGTGAGCGTCCCACGTGGGCTTCATCAAGCACCACCTCATTTGATTTCTTTTCCTACCACGGTATTTTCAGCAGTCTCTTAAGAAATCACATTTCTGGGTTTTTTCTATCTTATTTTCACCCTCTTTAATAATTGTCCAGCCTTTAAAATAGAAGAGTTGACCATACATAGCATTTCATGAGAACTTTCATTTTTGTAGTCATTGAGATGTTTCTATTTTTCAGAATTGGGCTCATTTTATTGAAACTAGCCTTAGCCGTTGCATTTCTCCCGTTTTATTTCTGTGACATCCGACGTTATTATATATTCTAGATACGTTAACGGTTGGACTTGTTTGATCTTTTCACCTTTTCTAATGAGATTATAAATAGGATTTGCTGCTTTTTTGGATATTGCCATGCATTGTTTTCTTTACATTCAACAATAATCCTTTACCATCACTTTTTGGTACGCATGATATACTCCTAAAAAATAACAACTTTGATTCTTCAGTGCCTTTTTTGGTATGATTTTCCCTCTCCATTATTTGCCCCTTTATTAAAAGTTCGCTTGGTATGATTTAAGCATTGGTTTATTCTATCAGTGAAAGCAATATTTCCGCGGCCATTGTAAAAGTATTTGTCAGAAAGAAAAAGTATACCGCAATGATACCTCGAAACCTCAAAGTTCTATCTATCATTTTTTGAGTTACTAAAACCGTGAGCACAGTTAATGCTCTATAGGCCATCAAAATCGTTCGGAGTCGTGATCAAGATATTCAAAGAATTGCATTCGAAACAGCTGTCATATTGTTAAACTCAAAAATTTTTGAAGTTACATTGTTCAAAACTAAGTATTGAGCAGATAGAACTTTGTAATTCTGAGGTAGAGACTCTTTCATACTCTCTGTCTCTCCTCTTTGTATTTCTTTCTCTCATTCTTTACTCTTTGTCTGTCCTCTCTCTGTCCCCCCTCTCTGTCTCCTCTCCTAGTCTCTTCTCTCAGCTTTTCCTTTGTCTCCGTTTCGTTTCTGTGTCTCTTCTTTCTGCATTTTCTTTCTCTCTGTCATTAATCTCTGTCTTTTCTCTCTGTCTTTCCATTCTCTCTCTCTCTCTTCTCTCTGTCTTTTCTGTCTGTCTGTCTGCCTGTCTGTCTGTCTGTCTCATTCTCTCCGCCTCTTTCTTTGTAATTCTGAGGTGGCACGCGACGTGAGGCTCTAACTTCTGCACTGTGCATTGTATACTGCGTGTGGTTCTCTAATTCACCGCGCGTGACCTATTTGGGATGACTTCGTAAGCGAATTTCCAGTAAGTATCCTATACGATTCATTGCGTTAAAGAAAAAATTGTTCCAAT